GATCTGTTAAATGTTTTGTAAAAATATCTTTTCTTGGAGAAAATGATGCAGAAAGTGTTAACTGTGCATTAAGCATGTTGCTACATTGTACATTAATAATCTTTCAGCTCGTTTTTCATTTCTCTGTCATCAAACACCTGATGTTGTGAAACTTAAGCATCTCTTATCGTAAGAGATGAGTAGAGAAAGTTTTTAAAGAATAAATGGTAAAAAGGAAGAGTTACTTTAATATAAGGGCTACATCTTTTAATATGCCACATTATGTGTATTCTGTTAAAAGTATCTGCCATCTTGGTGTTGCACTTGAAGAGGTCTGTTTCATTGGTGTATAGAAAATTCTGCCAACTAACTTTTAACTTCAATAACTCAAATATCATTTGAGCTATAACTTCCTAGAAATTTAAAGGCAGGTGTGCCGGGTTTTCTCATTATATTCAACTAAATTCACCGGTAGCTATTTTTCTCATTCTCTGCTGCCATGTAAAATGCTCATATATAAATGCTCAAAATATATTCACAATACTGTCAGATTCTGCATTTTACTTAAAATAAATTTTTGCTGTGAAGAAATAGACTTGTTTGTTCTGAAAAAAGTAAGATCTATTCATTGACCAAAAACAGTATTCAGTGATTGGGCATAGTTTTAAAATTTTGCTGTAGGTTGAACATTTTCATGGATGCTGAATGTTGGTTACTTTGCACTTCGATGTATGTGTGGTGGTTTAATTGTAACTGGACTTTTGAACTCTTGTTTACTTTCTATTTATTTAATTGCACTATTTCATGTGCCTAAAACTGTAGCTGCAATTATAAAGAAACTATATATGTAACTTGCATGAATGTATGCAAGTCTTTTGCACTGTGAAAAAAACAACGGTACCTACAGACATCATATTTTGAATTATATAGTCCTGCATTCAAATATGGGCATCTGTAAGCTCAAATGTGGAATTTGAAATTTGTTTTATTATCTATTTCATATTTTGTATAACTTTAACGAAATTTTGATTAACAGACTCTACGATTTCAAAGTGAGCAATAAACACACACAAAAAGACATTTTTATCACCAGCGCACAAGACAGTGTATTGGAAATTCTAAAGATATGGTCTTTCTAAATTATTTTGTGATGTTGCTGTTAAATTGAATTTATGGTTCAAGTGCGAAGAACGTGATATTTAATAAATAAAGGTAACACATGAAACGTTACAAAAAGGCCTTTTTGGGCATAATATAAAATCTGAAAGCTTTCTGATTTTTTAATTTAATTTTTTCCTCTCTTTTCTTTTTCCCCTCCCTCCTTCTTCCCATAGTTGGTATTATTGATCTTACACCCCACTGTACTTCACTTTCTGAGATGAATAAATGGATCGTACAATACTATACATCCCACTGCACAATGCAAGCATTCTTCCTGGAAAAAAAGGGGGGGAATTCATATTATCCATACAGCTCACGTTATTGCATCATCTTCCCCCGCACCCCCTCAGAATTTTTTTAAAATTTTATCTTTATTCTAAATATTTAATGATTTCTTCATTAAATATTTATTTATTTTTCATTTACTGTAACATCTGCATATGTGTTTGTACGGAAATGTGTATATAGGTCTATTCACTATAAAAAATTTTCTGATGTGCTTTATCCAAATTTCTCCTCAACTTCCGATGCCCAGTAAACTCCGCCTACCTTCTTTCTCTTCTTCCCATCTCGCACTTCAACACTCTTTCTTTGTCTGCCCTTCTGCACACTATTCCATCCATGTACTATACTCAAACTTTGACGAACATGCTTCATCACGTATAGCCTTTTCTACAAATCATTTGCAACCTCCCTTTTCTTTTTTTCATTTTTTTAAAAATTTAACTTGCAAGGTTTATTCTAAGTTTATAACAGTTATTTTTAAGGTAAAGCTCCTTTTTTATCTCTCCTAATTTCAGATTACCATTCCTTACCAAAATGAGTTTTTAGAATCGTATTTAATGGAAATGAGAAAGAGTGGTATTTAAGTCGAAGTTCCACTGACTTCAAGAGAGAATCTGAATTTCTGAATAGCCCGTGTTTGCCTTTTGGCTACGTCTCTGTAAGCTGTTGCTACGCTCGGCTGTATTATGTGCTCTGGATAGCTTCGGTAGATAATTCACAGCTTCCTCAAAGTAAAAAATCTCTTTGGCACTAAACACCCCTCAAAGAAAACTCTGTGCTCTTTAAATTTCCACTGATCCATCTTGCACTTCTTTATTTACTGCCTCTGATTTAAACTTTAGAATATTTTATTTTAATAAAACAGTTTTTTCTCTCTCTCAGAATCTTCTCTCCTCCTTCCTTTCGCTTTTCTGCCTAAAGAGGGGTCAAGTATGGGTGCCTCCATTAGGTACTTAGCGTATTTCACCTCTACTGTTCATATTTGCAAGCCACTAATTGTGTTGTACACTGCTATCTCAAACTTCAAAATCCCTCCCTTTTCGAACTGCCCATTCCCAGTTAACTCTGCCCATTACTACCACTCTTGCTTTTCCCTCCCACGCCTCAATACTCTTCATTAATTATCCCTTTCTTCACAAATTCTTCTCAAACTTGATTAACCCTTTCGGTCCTAATAGGCACATACGTCCCAGAGATTAGACTTCATACCCTATTGGGTAAGTAAAACCCACTTTTAAATGGGTTTTGACATTTTTAGTGTTTTTAAGGAATTAGGAAACAAATATAGGAATAAAGAAGCATGGAAGCACTTTTAGATTACAGATGGCACGCTTATGTTTTTGAGCACACTGATTACTCAAGTTTCGCTTTATTTATTTATATTATTTTACAGCAAGTACAATTGTATTTAAGGCATACTTAGTATGATATTTTTCTTATTAAGTAGTAATTTAACATTTTTTTTTTATGTCAGATTCAGGAAATTTTGAATAAATTCTTTTTGTGGGATATATTGTCCCAGTCGTATTTAATAGTGGGCTAATATGTCCCACCAGTGATCAAATTACTACATGCTGATATATTATGTTTGTATTTATAAAACATATATGAAAATTTCTGCTGTATATGAACTAGTGCATATGACAAAATTTATGTTTTGTAATATTCACATTATATATTACCATAAATTTTATATTTGTTTTCTAAGAAAGGGTAATATCCTAGACGACTGGGACAAATAGTCCCAGTTGATAATATGATTGGGACATATTGTCCCTGGAGATTTCCAGGAAATGGGAAAAGTTAAAAATTTTAAACTCGTATTATACTTCTTTTAGTATGTCAACATTAAATTAAACTACTTTTCGTACTTAAATTTTAATCATGCAAAAGTCGGGTCAAAATAGTTAAATTGTAAGTTAACATCACATTTTTGCACCTCATTAAACCCTCCTTCACTCACGCCCCTGCACCTCGTACAAATTCTCTACTGCACAAAACTTGTTACGTTGTCATGAGCAATGATAGTCTTCCTGCTTTTTTAAAATCTCCTCTCGCTCCCTTTTCTCAGTATCTCTTGCCTATATTCTCATTCCTCACTTCTGATGCCTCATTCTCTTCACTACTATTTTAACTTTGCACTGTCACATATTTATCCATTCCTCATTTTTAACCTTTTTTCACCACTTTTATCCTCTTAAACCCTCTGGAATTCCTTTTTAGCTTACAAATTTTACTGCAAAAATTGGTGTAAATTTGATTCATTTATATTACAAGTACATCTATATATTTTATTTTTTATGCTATCTGCATAAATACAAGCTTTCTTTCTTTGATCTTACTCTCTTGGTAGTTTGCATTCTCTATCTCACCACAATTACTTTCCTTTTACACAATCTTATCATGTCTTTTTACTATTGCATTCTAGACTAAAAACTCAGCATCTAAAATTAAGGTGCGACATACATTGGCTTTATGCCTCGTAGATAGTTCCACAGTGAAACTGTTCTCCCCTTATCCCGTTTCCTAAATTCGTATTCACTTTGCATCCTTTTTTAGTACCTTTCCATATTAATTTAAATACATTTTGTAAACTTTCATACCCTTTCCCACCCCCTTCTGCACCTACTCCTCTTATGCTTCCCTCTTTATCTACCTCAGGCTTTCGTTTACGTATGTGCTGGTCGCTTGCCCACACATTATTCCGGCTTTCACTGATGCTCTGTGTGAGTAAACATATCTGGTCTAAATTCATTTGGCAAGTTCTAGGCCCTTTTGAGCATTTTCTGCCTATGCTTATTTTTCTTCTACTCTACTGAAAAAGCAGAGCCCAGTCTTAGGAGGTGCCCTCTCACCCCTGCATTTCTCCCACTGTCACGCCTCCTTGAAATTCCCCAGCTACTTCTACCCACTGTTCTTGTAATTTCTTTACACTTCGTCATAAGTACCTTTGGCTGGTGTATTAGGAAGAAATTAGGATTACCTCCGCATCATTTATTCATACTGGTTGGTGGGCAGTATGAAGATTATTTACAGGTTCTATGCCAAGAAGTATTTAGAAGAAACCAAAAAAGATTTGAATAAGTAAAAGTAATGCCTTACTTCTTTTTTCCTTATTCCCTGCACTTTGTGTGTGTATGTGTGTTTTTTAGGAATTGTATATTGTTTATGTCTTGCAATCTACCTTATTTTCAGTCTGCCTTCTTAAGCATTTGTCCTTCACTTGATTCATATTAATTGTTTTTTATTTTTCATTTCTAACGTTTTGTACACATATAAAGTGCATTTCTCATATGTTATATATACTTTACATATATAAATATATATTTACATGTACCTCATTTCATATATCTCTCCTGTGTTATCTGTTTGTAATAGTTCCTTTGCCCAGTTGTCAAAATTATCACAAACTTCTTTCCCTGCATTAATTATGTTTCATTGCCAGCCCGGCTCATCCTCACCCCTCTTCTACCCTGTTCTTCCCTTATGTCTTTACTATGCGAATTTACTGTTTTCAGGTCTCTACTGCTTTTTTACCATTTTTATCCTCCTCTCACATAAACTTTGTCTTTCAGCTGTCTCCATCCTACAGAACCATGCTGAGCCTCTCCTAAGTTCGGTCTCCTCAAGTCTCTGTCTTCAATTTTTATTCAGTGCAATTGCAATGGACTCAACGGCTGTCTTACTGTCATGCATAGTAGCAATCCATTCACCAAAGTGCATGCCATATTTCTAAGCGAAACCAGGCTGGAAAGGAAAAAATTTCCCAGCTTTAACAGCTTCGTATTCTATCGCAAAGACAGAGAGTGTAGTGCAGTGGAGTCACCACTCTTATTCTTTGTGATCTCCCGCAATGCGAAGTCTCCCTGGACCATCTTTTGCACTACTCCCATATGAAGCTATTGCCATTAAAATCACCTTTAAAGGAAACCCCTTCTCCTTATTAAAGTCTACAATCCCCCTCAGCATCCACAAATGCTAGTGGGATCCCAGTTAAAAAATTTCTTCTACAATCCCAATGAACTCTGATGAACTATCCTGCTCCTACTTACTGTCATCATTCTGGCAGTGTCAGCACCCTCGACCTTTCACTAATTTCATCCAATTTCGCCAGTCGGCTTGCCTGGCATGCACACCCCCACTCTTATTGGTAGCAACCATATTCCTTTCTCCTTTACTTTCCTTCTTTCTGTCCTTCTCAGACTGTCAAGAAAAAGATTCTTGACGGTTCTGAAATTGTCTTTAAAATAGCCAAATTTTCAAACCGGGCCTCCTTCTCTTCCCTCTACAACTGCGAGGTATTTTTCTCTCACCTTCAACATGCTGCCTGTGAGAGCACCCATAAAATAACAGCATCTGTCTGGAAGAAAATCTTACTTCTTTTACTCTGCACAATTAGAACTCATTTCAAAAAGATTGTATGGCTCTAAAGGCCCAATGGACCTAAGAGCTTATCGCAGAGTAAATGAAGTCAACCGACAAATTAAATACATTGCAAAAAGTTCACAATCAATCGATATTGTTATTCCTCACCATCGACATTCAAGATGCCTTTCATCCCCAAAAAGAGATTTCTGCCATATTGTTTGATCTAAAAAGTGCATTTGACTCTGTTAATCCTAGAGCACTCTTCTGAAAATTTCTTAAACTTGGTTTTGGCACAAAAATCAATGAATATATTAAATTATTTCTTTCTCCCTGTGATTCCAGTATCAAATTTGGCTCTCATCTTTCCAGTCCCTTCTCTATGGATCATGGCACCCTACAAGGAGGCGTGCTCTCTCCTCTTCTCTTCAATCTCATGCTCAATGACCTCCCTTCACTCCTCAATGCTATATTTGCTGATGATATTGCGATTTGGTCTATTTCAGACAAAGACGTTAATTTGCAATATGCAATCGACAAAGTCTGTGACTATTGCACAGAGTGGGATTTCTCCCTATCCCCAGAGAAATGCCATCATCTATTCTTCTCCAAAAAAAAAACACCATTCCTGCCCCCTTACACTCTTGATCTATGACCTCCCCATTCCTATTGCCTCTTACAAATTTTCCGGAGTCACTCTTGACACCTCATTTTCCTTCTTATTTCACATCAAACAAATAACCTCAAAGACCAAAACCGCCTCCAACATTCTTAAATCTTGCACTGGCACTTCTATTGGCCCTAACCCACCCTCACAGCTCCTTCTCTATATCTCCACTCTCTGCTTTACCTCCACTTACAGCCTTCCCTTGTGCAACCTGTCTAATAATATACACAAACCTTTGGAAATTGCCCACAAAATGACCACTAAGAGAACTCTTGGACTTTTCCGCTTCACCCCCTCCTCTGAGGTTGAATCTCAACATAAACTTCTATTTCTTAAAGCCCAACACCAGCTCCTTCATCTTCTACATAGATCTACATCTCATCACACAATCATCCCTTGGCTCCTCTGCTGCTTTTACCAACTCGTTCAGGTAACATCAGTGAATTTTTTAAAATTAAAACTCAAGATTTTTCTTTGTTTATAAATCCCCAGTTTCTCCTATCAATTCTCCAGCACCCTCTTGGTGCTAGATTCCCTCCCTTCCTTCAAAATCCTCCTTACCCGACTTAGCCATTCAGTCCCTTTGCCTGGACACACTAGCTAACCTTTCCCCAGACTCCATTACCATCTTCATCAATGGCTCACTTACTCGAATTCATAATGGTGCAGCGTTTGTTGTCCCAAACTTTGGCTTTCAACAAAGTTTTGCCCTGCAAGATAAATGCACCATTATGCAGTTCGAACTCCTTGCTATACGTGATGCGCTTTTGTGGTTCTCTTCTTCAAACTTCTCCCACAGTATTATCCTCACTGATTGCAAATCTGGCCTACTGGCCCTTCAAGGGCTTCCATCTTCTACTTTTCTTCATTCACTTCTATCTGATATTTATATCCTTAAGCAGACTTGCACTACCCTGGGTAAATCAGTCAACTTTCAGTGGATCCCCTCCCACATCGACCTGGTAGGCAATGAAAAGGCGGATCGACTTGCTAAACTTCCTACAGGTATTCCTATTACTCTTCTGCCCTCTTCCTGTCAAATAAAAATAGTACTTATCCTCTTTCTCTAAATAATGAATTCATTTCTTTTCTCCAAGATATTTCCACCAACCCTCAGCATCCAGTCTCTTCAATTACCCTTTCCAAAAAGGGCTACTTGCGCATCCCCAAAAGAAAGTTGACATCTGTCTGCGGCAGCTTAGAGCAGGTGCTATTCTAACTCGTGAAATTTTATTTAAATCTAATAAAATATACTCCCTTCTTTGCCTGCTCTGCAACATTCCTGACACCCTCGAACACCTGTTTTATTGCTCTCTTTACTCCGTGCCCAGGAACATTCTTCAAAATCATCTTCTTGCACTTTCTGGATCTCTTTCTATCTATCTCGCACTCTATTACACTTCCTCATTCTCAAACTCTAAGGAGACTTCGTAAAGGACTGCAATTTCATTAACATGCTATAAATTATTGTTCCTTTCCACCACCATCCATCTCTCTCTATCTTTCCCCCACCCTTTTCTGCAGCTTAACTCATTTGATTGCTTTCCTGCATTTAATATTTGCCCACCATTCCCTTCTTTCCTTTTCCTTTCTACTCCTACTCTACTTATCTACAAGGCCACGAGTCCATAGCACACTTTATAGCTGGAAAGGAACAAAACTGTTTGACAAATGCTTTACAACTGGGAAATATCCCTTCTAGATACCGTCAACACCCTGCATTCAGGACAGACAAAACTACAAAAAAGTAAGTACCAAGTACTTGGTTTGAGCTTTACTTCCTGTTTTAAAATAACTGTATCATTTAATCACTTTTTGTCACTGCTTACTGTCCATAGCTATTCAATAAATGTCTCCTCATTTCAATAGTTCCAGGTCCCCCCCTCTTTATGTTCTTCTTCTTCTTCCGCCCCTTCATTATTCAAATTATCTCCATTTCATCATTCTATTCTTGCAAAGCTCTTCTTTACGTTGCACTTATTTATTTGTATTCTTTAACATTTCCCTGGCCCTATTTTAGGGATATCATTTAACCCCACCTTACATGAGTATTTATGTATGAATTACTGTGAGCATGCTAAATTTTGTGTATACCTGAGCTAGAGTCAAGTTTTTGCTTCCTTTTTCATCTTATGGACACAGGAGTCCTCATCAAGATTGCTCTTTCTCTCTCTCTCCCTCTCTCAATTTGTTTCTTTATGGGGGAGGGGCTTCTCCCTGTCTCCCTCCTCCTTTCCTATATAAATTCTTTTTGTTTCTTTCTCTCATCCAATTTACTTGTTTGAAGGATTTCTGAAATTCCATGCATTAACCAATCCAGACTGATGTTTAGATTCCTGTGAGTTGAAAGGCAAATTGCTTAGGCATCTTCATGTTCGGAAGCTGATCACCACATCGAAATCGGGATATCAAGCAACATGAAGAATGCTTTGAGACACTGCAGTATGACTGTAAGAATTTTCCTTTTATTCCATTGATTTCCCCCCTCCCCACAACTTCTCCAGTAAGATTTAAAAAATCTTGCTCATGTTCCTCACTTAGATATGTAAAGTGGTATTATTCTTATGTGTACTTGTATGCACCTGTTTAATACATTTTGTTAATTCCATATCATGTGGGCCTTTGTACATATATACATATATGTAACTTGGTGTGTGCCGTAATTTGTTAAACTAGTACAAATTTAATAAATTACGATGGTTAAATAAATAAATAAATATTATTCTTAATTAAAAAATATTAATGTTAAATAAAAAAAGTAACTGCAATTTATTCATTTATTGAATTTTTGTTGATGTGATCTCGCACTGTGTATGGATTTACGATTTCATCTGATGCTGTTTTCTGAAAAATGTATGAATATGTTGGGAACAGTAATAGTAAATGTTATTTTAGTTGAAAAAATATATATTTTGTCTTTTGTATATACTTTATCTCAAGGTAAAGGCAAACATATTGCTTTGTTTCTCATGTTAGAATTATTCTTTTTTACTTTTCTGTTGTAGCTAAAGTTTAACTTGTATAAAATATATGAAGTTCTTTTTTACTCTCCTATAAAATACAAAATTGCCCCCTTTTTATATACCTTTCCTTTGCACCTAAGCTTTTTTTTCCCATCGTTGCAGAAAGACTTAGCAGGTGCAAAACAAGGCATCTGCCTATTTTGTCTGTAGCTATATATCTTGTCTTGGTCTTGCTTAGTAAGTAGTCTATTAAGTTGTCTTGGTCATGCTTAGTAAATAGTCTTGCTTTTGCTTCTTATAGCTTTTATTAAGTGAAAAATTTTTTATGTTGTGAAAATGATGAGTGATTTAATTAGTGAATTACATCTCTTCCAGTATAATGAACATGTGTTATGACCCTGCACATTAGAACGATGTACCCGATTTAGCACAGTGGTGATCCTGACGTGATTATGACATAATGGTTTTCCCAAAGTTGTTTGAAGCATACGCAAAGGAAATTGAATTAGGAGAAGCCTCTACTGAAAACAGAGATATTAAGTCTTTGGAAATTTCCATTATTAATTTTTTGAAAGCACATTGGAATGACAAAGACAAATGGCCTCTATTGGCACCCTTAGGTGTTACTGTGCTAAGTCGGATACACGACTTCAGTGTACTAGGTCATAACACATGTTCTGTATACTGGAAGAAAAGCAATTAGCTAATTAAATCGCTCGTCATCTTCACGACTTAACATTTATATTTAACAAACAAGTTGCAGGATTGTTTGCATCTGCATGTCAGCACAATTGATATACAGATATAATTATTGTTAAACATACGTACACTTTCTTTACAAATTTGCAGTTTAGGTACATAAAATACATCAGTTAAATAAATGTTATGTTAAAATATGGATCTTATTCAAAATGTTTTAGAATGATAAAAAAGCTGAAAATGAAGGGACCATTGGGGTACTTATGTATTATCAGAACCACTTTGGGGCAGTTTTGTTAATTTAATAGAAAAAACGGTACTTTTATTAAAAAAAAATTAGATATCATATGCATACATATTCTGTGTTTCAGCTGTATGTTTATTCCAAAAGACAATCAGTAAACCTCAGTAAAACAAATGAGTTTTTGTTGTGGTGGAAATTTCATAGTGATCACTTTAATAAAGAATTCGAAGCATTGTTCCTTTAGCGATTCTGAGGCAAAATAATGTATTCCTGCAGAAGTTTCACCTCTCTTTCTTTCTATTATAAGAAAATCCTACAAGCATAAATTTTAAAATTGAGTTTAAAGAAGAAATAAATCAAAATTTTTGCATAAAAGTCATTTGAACTTGGAATACAACAAAATGCACACAAAAATGGCAACATTAAAAACTGAATATTTATCATGAACATGGTTGCCTGAATAATTGTTATGTGCATGGCTACCAGAGTTGGGAGTATTCTGTAGCTTTGGCAATTTGTACTAAAATGTGTCGTGATAATACGAAAGTACCTTCATTTGCTGCATAGAATAAAGAAAATGGACATTGAATCCTATCTAAGTGTCCAGATGATGGTGTAGTCTGCCAGAAAGAATATACAGAAAACTAAGGCAGGATCAATATGTTTGGTTCAATTAAGGGCAAATAATCATAAAGATCTAAAAATTCTGTGAGCAAGGAAAATTGTAAACTGATTTTAGATAATTCAATATGTGAAAATTAGTTTCTTCTTATAACAAACATTTAATTGTTGATGTTTCTTTTTTCGTTTTCAGATGACTTCTTCAGAAGATCAACACAGAATCTCCATAGAAGTTTTTATGTGGAAAAAATACTGGATAAAGTTAGAAAACTACATAAAGAATAGTATTGTGTGAAAAATAATGGTGAGTCTTGTTCTGATTTATGTTGATAATGAAAAGGAATACATAAACGTATTTAACTTTAAAGAGCATTAATTATTTATTACAAGCCAATTTTTTTTTTTTTTTTTTTTTTTTTTTTTTTTTCATTCTTTGATAGACTTCCAGCTACATGTACTACATATCATTATTTTACTTTTATTTTGTGTTAGATTAAAAACTGAAATTTTTTAAGTACTTTCTAGTCTTTTATTTATAGTGACTTTATTTATAGTGGTTTTCTGCTATGTATCTCAAATATTATTTTAATTCAAATGATTTTAATGAAACAAAATGTTTGGAAATAAATATTTTAAATTATTGAAATAATTTTTAGGCAGATAACATCTCATGCTATAAACATCTTATATAATAAACTTTCTTACTGAAAATAAGAAATGAGAAAAAATGAAATAAAAAATTTATTAATTGGTGTAAAATATAAAAGGTGCACTTGTAACTATTTAAACTATTTATTTATATGCCTAGAGTGATATATAATACAGACCGCTGCAATACTAATATAGTTCTATTTTTACATGCATCCAAACTGTTGCCATTCACAAGTTACTAAATGCTACGTCTTCTTTATTTTAAAGAGTTCAAAAGTTTTTTTAAAGACTTCAATATCAGCCCAAATATCTAGCCAGCTTTCTAATCCCTTCCCCACTTCTAATTCTTTGCTCACAGTCCCTTGTGTCTGAGTTAGCTTGTCTGAGTTAGTTCAGCTTGTTATGTTTTTATTTTTGTGTCATTTGCAGCAAACAGTTCTAATTTTGAGATGATTCTCTTATCTGGAGGTAATGGAGAATTCTGCCTCTGTATCAATTAAAAACTGGGTAGTCAATTCTCTGTCGCTGATAAAAAGAAGCCTCAGCTCCACCCCTTGTTGCTCCAACCATCATTGAGAGAAGGTGCTTGTTGTTTGTGATCCTGATGAAAAGTTGTATATCTGTTTACACTTAAAAATGATTTGTTCCAAATGTTTTGTGATAGTAATAGATATCACTGGACTTGTTACCACTGTAACTCCTATCTCTTGATTTGGACTGGTAATGATTATAGGGATTAATTTCACCATTGCCTGGATAAAGTGGAAACTTGTAAGCAAAGTTCACTAACCTGTTTTTATGAGCTTTCAGTCAGTTCCATGTTTACAGTTATGGATAAAGTAGCAACTATTTAAGGGTTAATAGGATTTAATTCTCAAATCATATCAGCCATCGTTGCCACCTTTGATAAATCTTTGCCAATAACAGATATAATGCTGTGTGTATTAACAGGTAGATGCTGGAGCCACAATGTCTTTAGGAAGGTATCTGCTATTTTGTCCCTGCCAAACTATGAATTTCGCACATCAGCTGAGATGCTTTTTTATCACCCATTTCTAGCCCCTGAGTTTGCATATAATGAAACTTATCTGTCCATAATTGCCTGATACTTGCCATCTTGTGGCGAACTAAGCAAAATATTGGATACTTATGAAAAAAAGTCAAGTTTCATGGAATTATCATATAATCATATTTCGTTCAGCCTACAGTTAATTTTTCATCTCTAAATTGTGCTTCTTGTCGAATTAACCATATCTTCGGATTTGGTTTCCAAAAGGAAGGAGCTTTGATGCTTACTCTTGCGACAGCCGAAGTTGTTGCATTAGCTTCAGTTTCTTTACTTTTGTCATCGTCAGCTGTAGTAAATTAGGCTTAACAGATTTACAGTTATTGTTATCCAGTTTTATTTATTTTTTATATATCTAATGCTTTTCTTGAAAGCCTGCTTAAGATTGACAACCATAAATAAAACTGATTTATTTTGTTCAATATCATTTATATCATTAAAATAATTTATTCTAGTAAAGCAGAATTTTCAATATTACATATAGAACACAGATTTTTAATTACTAGCAAGTATTCACATAGTTTCTTTCTCTTGCATTTTACGTTGGATAATAATTCATTTAGTTGGGCAGAATTGATTCAATACCATATCCATTTAATAGTAAATCCTAAAGTGCATTCCATGAATTTACTTTAATTTCACCTTCACCTGAAAGAGTAGCTGCAATTTTAAGCTTTAAGAAACCAGAAACCGTTAAAGGCTTGAGGAAGTTTTTAAGTTTACTGGTTTTTTACTACGGATATCTGCTATATGCTATCTCACTTAAAAAATTCAGAGGGGGAAAAACACAAAATCCCTTGGTCTACCTGCAGATGTCTAAAACAAAGCCACTTGTGAACTTGTCCATTTGCTGATACTAAGCATGATGACATTTTAAAGATATTATGTTGTCTTTGTCATTCCAAACTTAGTTGTAGCAAAAAAACTCATGTATTATAAACATAGCACTGCCAAAACAAATATGCTTTGCATATTGTTTGGGAACTTATATTCCATGTCTTAATCATTTAACTGACTTGCAAATATAATCATCTGCATAACTTACACATAAGTATGCCTTCACAAATTTGCAGGGCAATGTAATGCTTATTCATGGAATGATATTTTCTCTGTTAACCACTAAATGTAATATGTTTGTTTTGTGATTGAAAAATGTGGTTTAAGACCTTTATTTCTTTTAGTATTGATCCTAGTCATGTATTTTCAGTTATAAAATTTCTTATAAGAAGGTTAACAAGTTTATGAAAAGATGCTTATATGGTTCCATAAAAAATGTAACATAATGTAAAAATCATTACTGGGCACCACATTTGGTCCTTTGATGCACATTTGGTGACGAACACCCAATTAACAGAAAAGCACTAATTTTTCATGTTAAATTTCATTTGATCTAAGTTGTCTTAATCTATTATAGACATCTACGGGAAAATTCAGTCAATAATTAATCAGTAAATATTTGTATTTAATTTTGTTTTATGTCAACATATGGTCCATTACTCAGTTTTTCTATAAAATTGCATGCAGAGTCGTTAATTAATTTTATTTTCATCCTGCTTGAAAGTAATTGTATAAATTAAAGCGTTTCTTCCTTGCTTGGTAGTTTCTCAGTATAAAAGTGTAAGAAAATTACAAAATGAAATTAGCCAAAGAACATAAAATTTAGAGGATCTAATTAAATATTAATATATTTCACATCAGAATCATATTATAAATACACTCTTATGAAAAATTAAGAGAACCTGCCCATAATGTTGAGTTTCTGGAAAACTAGTAGATAGATTTTAACGAAATTTAGAATTAATATGTATTTATAACAAAGAAAGAGATATACCATTCAAAAGTGGTTATATGTACACATGATTATCAGCAAAGCTCATAGTACAAGGATATCCAAAATTCACATTGAAATTTTCGAATTGAAAATGAGTGTGATGTGGGATATGGCCCCCTCTCATAGTCAAACAGCTCATGTAGATTGACGAGATACTGGAAGGAGGCAGTTGATCCCATTCCTGCAGCAAGGCAGTTTTCAATGCCAGGATGGTTCTTATAGCGGGATAGCTAGATGAAATTGCCCTCCTAATAGAATCCCAGATAGTGTAGGTGTAGGATAGTTAGAGGTATCCACACCAGTATAGGTGTGGAATTATTTTCTTTTTGCTACAAATATTTAATTGTTGATGTTTCTTTTTTCCTTTTCAGATGACTTCTTTCAAAGATCCACAATGTTCATAGAAGCTTTTATGTAGAAAAATACTGTAGCAGTAAGAAAGCAAGAAAGCTACATAAAGAATATTATGTGAAAAATAATCGTAAGTTTTGTTCTGATTTATGTTGATAATGAAAAGGAATGCATAAAAATACATAACTTTAAAGAGGGTTAATTATTTATTACAGGCCAAAATTTTTTATTTTCCCTATTTGATGGGCTACGTGTACTACATTGCAGGGCTGTGGAGTCGGAATCGGAGTCAGGCAGATTTTGGAATTTTGGTGGAGTCGGAATCGGAGTCGGGCAGATTTAAAAGGAGTCGCTTAAAAACAGGTCGACTCCGACTCCAATTTTTGTTGGACAGTTTAAATTTGAAATGAAATAAAAATGTAATGAAAAAAATTAATAATAAGCTGAGTTATTATTTTTATTTATGGACTAATGAAGTCCATACATTAATAAATAGTTATTTTCTGTTTTCTTGACATATTAATAAATAAATATAAGGGAGAAGGATGGATGGGATATTTGCGATTAGTGATTAAACTGATTTATTTAGTTGCAAATTTCACTGGTAAATTTAGATAAGCAGCAAAAGCAACAAGAACTCCCAAAATTGCTGCCATTCTTAGGAAGCGAACAGGAAAAGAAACACTTATTGATCAAGCAACGCGATAAGGAAGTACATTTCTAATGATAAAGAGGTTTTTAGAATTAAGAATTTTTTTTAGAAGATGTAGATAACCCTAATATTTCACTAACAGAAAGACTGGAATGATCTTGCAGAATTGGAAACTCTTCTTTCTACACCGTATATAGCCACAAAAAAGCTGCAATCTGAAAAATGGCAAGAATGGAAGAATGTGATGTTTGTTCTTTCTGAAATGGAGGGTTTATTGCAGAAGGAATCATTTCTTCAATGAAGAAAAGATAAACTAGTTTGCTAGACAATGAGATCTTGCTGGGTTCAATATATGTAGATCTGAATTTTGGATGACGAATAAATTAAAAAGGAAAAAAAAAAAAAAAAACTATGAACTTTTATTAAGAATGAAACTATTCTCAGAACAACTGGAGAATTCGAATCAGGACAATCAAACTGCAGACATTTTAATTGAGTCTCTATCATCCTCTTCCAGTGATGAATTAGATTTTGAGAAATATTTTTATTGAAAAGTTTAAGGCAAAGCGAATGAAAATAAAGAACCAAGAACCTTTAGATATAAAAAGGAAAAAATACAAACAAGATTTCTACACGGTCTTTGAAGAAATATGATTGTGCTTGCAAGAAACCTCTTTTAGAACTTATCTTTTTTAGAATCTTATGATTGGAAATATAAAACATAACTATCATCTCTTGAAATGTACAAACTCCTTTTACTGAAAGTAATGTCAAATGAATAAAGCAAAATGTAACATTTTTAAGATGACACACTTTGTATTTTAAAAGATTATTACGTTTATTACCAATATTTTTTTTTAATTTTACCTTCTTCATTTCTTTAGAGAACAAAAAAATTTTTAATGTACTCACAAGTGTTTTATTTATAATGACTTTTGTTTACTGCTATGCATCTCAAATATTATTTTAATTGAGAGGATTTTAATGAAGCAAAATGTTAGGAAATTAATATTTTAAATTATTGAAATAATTTTCAGGCTAATAACATCTCATATGAGAAACATCTTATATGATAAACTTTATTTATGAAAATGAGAAGTGAGAAAAATAAAATCAAAAATTTATTAATAGATAATACATTTTTTGTTCTCTAAAGAAATGAAGAAGGTAAAATAAGAAAAAAATATTGGTAATAAACATAATAATCTTTTAAAATACAAAGTGTGTCATCTTAAAAATGTTACATTTTGCTTTATTCATTTGACATTACTTTCAGTAAAAGGAGTTTGTACATTTCAAGAGATGATAGTTATGTTTTATTTTTCCAATCATAAGATTACTATAAATAAATTTTCTCTAGTTGGAGGATTTGTAAGATGAGAAATACCCTAGAAATTTTTTAATTGTTTGAATGGTATTGTGGCAGGCCACATAAAGATAAATTGGTATACACGGTCCTTTACAATTCATGGTCTTGGAGCTGTTATGACATGCTATGACACTGCAAGAGCAATAACTTCTTCAGTAACACTTCCACTTGACATTACAAAAATCATAACGACCAGCGTCTGTCATCAAGGCCTCTCAAAGCTTACTTACTGACTTACTGACCAACCGTCCTATTGCTCTTCTGATATTGTTCCAACTATAATGAATCAGATGACATACAATACAACTGAACAATTAAGGAAGCATGACTTAATTCAGTCTGCAAACTTTTCAGATAGAGAAATATGTCAGAACTTAGACTTTTGACTAGAGATACTCTTGCTGCTAGCAAGATAATGACATAATAAGGGCAATAATTGTCTTACGTGTGCATTCAACCAAACTTTTGTGTAGTGTAGAAAATTTAGACACATCTATTTTAATGCATCTCAGATATAAAATAAACACCTCCTGAAAATGACAAATATCTAACTTTAAAAAACAGACTTAATTTCAGAATTTCAAGATTCCAAGGTTTAGCAAATCTGTAAATTTTATCTGATTTACAATTAGGTGACCACCCCCCCCCAAAAAAACACCTAGTTTCCTTTTGAAACAAACAAATGAAAATTCATAATTTTATAGTAAAATTATGGTTAGTATGTTTTTCATATTTTTATATACTTATAATTTTGTTTATTGTTACATTTACTTTGAAAAAAATAAATAGTTCTCATCAGAGTTCTCTAATTCATCAATGTGAGCATAAATCACATTTAAAGCTATTATTTTGAAATGTGTCTGATTGAGAATCCATAGGCATTTAGGTTTTTCATTCTCAGCGATTCCACTTTCAAATCAAGTTTGGTGACAAATCCAGTTATTTTATTTCTACATATTTTACATATGAAAGTGATTTTTGAAATCTTTTATGGAATTCAGAATTACTGTCTCTTGTACCCATACTAAAAGTTCTACCCTTTTACTGATTAAATATATAAAACATTAAATTTAATTTTAGTCATTTCTAAATATAAATAATTTGAAAATGTGACAGTATTGCTGCCCATGCATGTCACCTTAATCATACACAATCCGCAGGCTTTGTATATGGACCCATCTTCAAAATATTATTAAAAGTTTTCCTTAAAATAATTTTTAACTTGCTTATATATTTATCTGCAAGTTACATCGCAGATTTACTGAAATTTGATAAAATAAATTCATTATAAATATATAGAATATTTTAATTGTCTCCTTTAGTCTAAAATTATGAGTGTTTTCTTTGACAAACATTTAAATGGAGCAACAAGGCAAAGTGTATAATCACGAGAGTTAAAAATTGTAATATGTTAAGTAATGAGACAATAAATTGATGATCTGTTGCTGTTTCCACAAAGATGTATTTTTAATAATACATAGTTTTCTTAATAACTTTTATGCTGCAACTGAATATTTTTGAATTTTAGAAAGTTTTTTATAACAAACAAAATGCTTCATATAAGATCCCATACCTTGATCTTCGGTAATCATTAATGAACACAAACAGTGTATCTTTAGTTTCATTAGGTGTAAAAAGAGAACTGCTGCCATCGAGCAGCCAAGTAATAATCGAGTTTTAAAACTTTGCTGCATTATATTGTATTCACTAGTGAAATCTGTGAATTTGTTGTTCTTATTAATAAGAATTTTTAGCCCAGATAAAATGTGATGCTTTTAATTAATTTTTTACATGTTATGCATTTTGTATGTATTATATTTTTATATATCTATGTGTGTGTGTGTAAAATCAAGAAAGTGTAGGTATCCCGAATAAGTTGTCTGTTTGGCTGACTGAGGATAGTTTTATTGAGTAACAGAAATGAGGCTGAGCTATTACATATATGTAAATAGCAAGAAATCTTTTCCCTCCTTTCTTCTAATTCGAGTGGGTATTTTGAAATGAAATGTATGCATCTTCTTCTTCAATGGTCAGACAGCCCAGGATGGGCCCTTGCCTTCCTCAGAATCGAATTCCAAGCTCTTCTATCCCTGGCCATGGACATCCAATTGGTTATTTTTAAAATAAATAAGTCTGTTTCCAAACAGTCGAGCCACCTAAGTTTAGGTCTCCCTCTTTTTTGGGTGCCGAATGGTCTGGCTGAGAAGATCTTTTTAGTTACTCGATTTTCATCCATTCTGCACAGGTGTCCTGCCCATTTAAATCTCTGAATCCGTATATATTTTACTATATCTATTTCTTTAAAGGATTTTTAGAATTCAGAGTTCTTCTCCAGATATTGTTACATTTTATGCCACCAAAAAATACTTCTCAAAATTTTTCTTTCAAAGACAGAAATGATACTTTTAGATTTTTCTGTCATTCCCCAGGTTTTATCAGAATATGTAATAATAGATCTGATTAAGCTTTTTTAAATTAAAATTTTCGTTTTTTTGCTAATGAAGTTAGACTTCAAGTATTTTTTTAGGCTGAAAAAACATCGGTTAGCATCTGTGACTCTACTACGATCTCGGGCACTAAATCATTGAGAGTATTAACTTCTGATCCTAAATATTTAAATTTGCTAACAGTTTCAAATTTGTAATTCCCAATTTCAAAATAGAGACTGCTGTTATTACCACATGGCATGTATTTAGTTTTATTTTGGTTGATTGCTAGATGCATTTTGCTGGCTGCAACCTCTAGAGATGTAAAAGCCTCTCTAAGTGTGAAGTGCGTGCGACTATGTCAATATCGTCAGCAAACGCAAAAATCTGAACAGATTTGTGAAAGATATAAAGTTGGAGTCTTTTATGATTTTTTGGAGAGCAAGGTATGCATAGAAAATGGAAATAAAAACCCATTTTATTTGTATAAAGTATCTAAATATTTTTGTCTTATCTTTTTGTTTATCATTTTAGTTGCTAAAAGAGTTATTTATGCTTAAGTGGTGGTATTTTTTTTTTTTTTTTTTCTGATTATCTGCATCCTGCTGAGAAATATTCCAAAGGCAATTTATTATTTTTCTAAAATTGTCTATCCGAGGCGGCTCCAAAACGTATGAATGCAACAACACAGGTTTGTGGGCAGCAGGCAAGTGTGGATTTTCACGCTCAAGTTTGACATTAATTATTCTCATTAATTATGCATTGGATACATTTGTTTTTCTTCAAAGGAGTCATTATGGGATTATGGAGTTTGCCTGATGATGAGAAAAAAAGCATTACATTTCTTCAGAAATGTGTTTTTCCCCAACTGCAAAAAGAATGCAAAAATTTGCACTCCATGAAATTGTACTTCTTAAACGATTGAAGCTTACGAAACAAAATTTGTGAGCAATGCCAACTTTATACAATTCTCTGAATTTTGTAAGCAAAAATAGATTGCAGTGTGCATTGGAAGAACAACATATGCAATTCTAAATTTATGCAGTTATTCTTTGATGTTTGTTTTAAGAGAATGCAAGTCACTGTGTACATGGAGAAAACAACAATGAAAAAAAAAAGATTTTTTTGGAAAAAAGTAAATGTGTTACTACAGGTATTTCTTATATTGATTCATTGCTCTTTTATGGAATTTTTAGTTCGGCCACCATTTTCATATTAGGTGTGGTATTTCCCATATCAGCTTGATGAAAACTAAGTGACAACTTTTGAGAGGAGATCACTGTGGATAATTAGAAAGTACTCAACTTTTGTCTTGAAACTGCAACCAGAAGTACTTTTGTCCCAAAATTTACACAGTCATTTTCTTATTTGATGGAATAAATTTGAACAGGTTTCTATATTGAATTGAATGGAAGTATTTTCAAAATTTATGAAGAGATTTCCATTGTCCAAAGAAGCAGATTGGAGCACGAAGCAAAATCAGTTGATAATCCAATAGTTTTATAATCAAATTACAATTAGTATATCTTTTGTGTATTATATATCTATAATCAGTGATATATTTTGTGTGAAAATTGCAACTTAAACCACAATGAAAACTAAAACTTTTTTAAAAAGAGTCCAACTGAAAATCCATTTTCCGCGATTTCTATTTAAATTTTTTTTTTTCCAGTGGTGATTTGCCTTTTCTTTGACAGACCTTTAAAATATATTAAACGGTAAAATATTCTAATATTATTTAGGTAACTTAATATGTCTGAATCATCATATTCTGTTACTATATGTATCATAATATTTGTGTGTTTTGTTAATATAGTGGAACATCAAGATACAAGTTTAATTTGTTCCAGCATTGAGCTCATAGAGCTAATTTCTCGTATCTGGAAACAAACTTCCCCATTGAAAATAATGGAAATCCAGTTAATGTGTTTTACACCTCCAAAAATATCAACATAAAAATACATTTTTCTAATAAATAACAATGGTAAATAATATAACCATAATTTACATTTATGATAGCTTCCGAAACTGAATCGCCTTCTAACTGCTTCTCGTGAATCCACACCAACAACAGCTTCTCAACGTATTCTAAGAGTTTTGAATGGTGCTTGGAAGTAATGGTAACTCCTTTGGCCACATCAAGTTTAATTTCTTCCTTCTTCTTCAGAACAGTGTGGATCGTTGATGTCGAACAACCATAAGTATTCGCCAGTTCCATCACTCTTACACCACGCTTATGTTCATCTATGATTTTTTTCTTAATTTCAATGGCCATGGCTTCCTTCTTTTTATTTACAGCACTATCTGAGCCAACAATCTTCTTGGGAGGCAGGCATTGCGAAATAATTATTTTCACGTTAAATGTAACAAACAATTAATTCACAAGCGCACAAACGCCAAGTGCACACGCACAAGATCAAAGAACACCAAGTGACCTGACGAGGGGATTGTCAGAGTCGGGCCGAATCGGGAAATAGCGCCACGTATACCAACAGCCCGGCTCGTTACTTGAGTCAATGTTCATATATAGAGACAAATTTTTTGCTCATACTTTCCTCATATCTCGAATTTCTCGTATATTAGAGGTGTTCTTATCTTGAGGTTCCACTGTAGTCTTCTTAATTTTTTTATAGTGTAATTAATATATTATGTATTATAGAAAGTTCCTGATAATTGTATCGAAAGTGTCACAGAAGGCATCATACTCTGATCTTAAATAACCATTGATCAACAGAAAGCAATCCATCTTTAGTTTTAAGAAGTATAAAATGAGATGAACAACAGTCATGCAGAAAAAAAGAGGAAAATTTTGCTATATGGCAGTGAACAGCATGAAACAGCTGTCTTATTGAGCCCAAAGAATAGTAAGTAATAACTGATTTTTTAAAATTTAACTGTATTTTGAAGAATCTGCTTTTTAAACATGCTGGTTGTTGTTGGTGCTAAACTATTATTCACCAGAAAATGGATGGTGTTACTAGTTGATTTCACATATTAAATATATATATATATGTGTATGTTTGTAATCACAAATGCATATAAAATTACTGCTTTTCTAACTGTCAGTAGTTTTATTTTTTGAAGTAAATAAATAAAAGTGTGTTTTTATACATATGAAAAATAATCTTGAATATTTTTGTTGCATTTTTTCAATTTAAATGAAATAAATAGATCCGACCCCCCCCCAAAAAAAGTTTTTAATGACATAAAATATTTAAATATTTGTTAGTGTTTAAAATTATCTTTTTGATTTCTAAAGGGCTCGAGGAGCTTAAGCTATGGAAAAGTTATAAGTTTGCTCCTAATTCTATCCCTTTCTTTAAAAGGGCTAGCTGCCAAGAGTTTAATCTCATTTATAAGCTTAAATGTTGCCATATTATGTAATTTAATTATGGTCAGTGATGCATTTGCTTTGAGAAGATGAATATTGCCCATCAGACCTTCGTTATTCATAAATGTGGGCTTTAATCACATTCAGAACTTAATAATTTGAAAAGTGCTTGATTGAAAATCTGTTTGCAGTTTTTTGGTCTCAGCCATTCCAGTTTCAAATCAGATTTGATGATGAATCAAATTGGTTTTGTTTCTGTGTATAAAAGTGATTTATGAAATTTTGTAACAAAATCAGAATTACTGCTTTTATTAATTATTTTAAAATTTCTACATCTCTTAATTATTGGAAATAATTTTCTGCCAATTTTGTCCTTTCTAACATACACAAGTTAAAGATATGACAGCACTGCTGTGCATACGCATGACCTTAGAGTTATACACAACCTGTATGCTTCACAAATTTTCTTTTAAAAAAAATCACTAAAATTTTATTTTAAACTGATTTTTGTCATTATACATTTATCTTCACATTATGTTCAGATTTAAAAACTTGTAAAACTGTTTTTTAATCTACAATTTACATGGGCTGGGATCTGTAGGAAAGAATTTTTTCTAGTAATACAAAAATTAAAACTGACAATTTAAAAGATTCATCTCCTATGTCTACACAAGGTTGCTGCTAGTCGTTTTGCCTCCTGGTACAATCTCTGTGGGTCTAAATTCTGTAGTCTAAATATTTTGCCATCCTTAAATTTTGTTGCTCTGTGCTTCACTAAATTAAAAAAATTGTGCCGCTCTTAGCTATGTATCATTTCATATCTATTTTCAATATTCATATTATTAAAGAAATAACATTAACAGTGTCTTAAATATTTTCTAAATACATACAACTTCTTAGAATAGCATAAATCTTTAATTAAATCTAAAAATTCTGAAATGAAATGGTAGATTGTTGGAAACCTAATAAATTATCAGATAAAGCAGAGACTAGTGCAGCATTAATTTGTTTATTAAAACAAATAAACTTTGAAAAGATGTTAAAGAGAAGGAAAATGATAAAAATTGGCTAAAATATCTGCAAATTTTTTTAATTAAAAAGATGCATAAATATTTTGTTGTATGTTGTAACTACAAAATATATGTTTTGTAGCCTTTAATGTATAATTATCCTTATATAGTTTTAGAATCAATGTCATAAATTATATGTGTAGTTATCTGTTATTTTAAACTGTAAAATATTCTTAGATTGTGAATTTAATAATGCTTTTTTAATGAATATTAAAAAAAATAATATTGGTTATATATATAAAATCTGCTTTAATCTCCAATGAGTCCTAAATTCAGCTGCCTAGTGCTGTCCTAAGTTCTAAAAATTTGCCATCTCTAAATTTTGTTGCTCCCTGTTTCATTAAATACTAAAAATTTTGCCATACTGGCCCTGATCATATATAATTTCATATTTATTTTCAGTGCTAATAGAACAACTAAAGAAATTAGCATTAAAAATAGTTTTATCTATACATTCTAAATAGAAGCAGTTCTTTAGAATAACAGAAATCTTCAATTAAATCTGGAAATTCTAAAATAAGGAGGGAACTTATTGAAGAAGAAATTGATTACACAAAGAGAGAGAACATTGTACTTCAAGGTTTTATTATTGAAAAATTAATAAATTAGAAGATGAAGGAGAGACTAGTGGAAATATTGACTGGTGTGTTGAAACAAATAAACTTTGAAAAAATGCTTAAGAGAAGAGAACTGATGTAAATTAGCTAAAATATCAGGAAAATTTTCAAATTAAAAAATTGCATAAATATTTTGTTGTGTGCTACTGCTACAAAACATTTTTTTAGCTTTTTATTCCAAAGGGGCTTTGTCCCTAAAGGACTATTGGTTTTGTTTTGCGATTTTCTGTTGAATCACTATAAATGACGAATCACTTTTCAAACTGTTGCCACCAAATGTTAGAGCCCTGCATTGTATTTGAAGAACTTAAATAATGAAAAATCTGCATGAATGTATGTATATTTCTCACATTGTGATAAAACAACGGTACATAGAGCCATCAAATTTTGAATGATGTAATCCTCCTATGAATATGGGCATGTGGAAGACCAATTTTGAAATTTAGAATTTGTTTTATTATCAATTTCATATTTAGTATAACTTTAACGAATTTTTGATTAACCCTTTGATGCGCATGATATTATTTTTATAATTTTTTTAACTAAAAACTCTAGAAATTGAATATTATGATCCTAGAGACAAATAATATATGAATTTAAGAAAATCTACTCTTGCCCATTGTTCTGAGGGTGGTGGTCGCACTGTGAAACCACCGCGCGTCAAGGACTTGAAATTTACCGAGGTAAGTAGGGAAAAAAAACTTACCTTTCTCCGTGCACGTTTCCAGTAAATGACGAAATTTACGAATTTAAAACAAAATGCATGTAGGAATTGCATAATATATAATATATATATATATATTACATTATTTATTTTTATTATATTTAAGTAAATTGTCAGAAAAATTAAAAAATAAACATTTATCTAATTTTTCTATAGCAGTGAAAGTACCTACATAATAAGGACGTTTGGCTACATGGATTAAAAAACTCAGTACAATAAGGATAAAAAAAAGACTCAGTGTTTTTTTTTAATTTCAAAGAACAAATAATTTTTGTGACATCGTTCAAAGCATGTTTTGTCTTTTTGGTACCATGCTTGCCCACATTGCACGTTTCGCCACATGTATCTTCTTCTATGAGGTTTCTTCCTTGTGCTAGAAAATGTACACTCATTGGATCTAAATTTCACTGGTATATGTCCAGCATTATTTAGTTTCTTTTAATCTGGCACATGACATTTGTGGGTTTTTTATGTTAATGAGGAGGGGCTTAGTCTTTTTGGCTTTGATAGGGATCATTCCTTTCCCATTCGCACTTATTTAATTCGTATTTCGTTCCAAAATTTTCATAAAATATTTTAAATTTAAATAAAACTTTATGCGATTTCTATTTTTAATTACAGCAAAGTATATGTACATTAAATTTAAACCACAGGAAAGAATTTATAAAATCACAATACTAGCTTGGGGAGCAAGTGTGTTGAAGTTGCTGGAAAAGAAAGACCTTTTTACTGGGCAGGTGCATGTATTGTTTAGTAATAAAATAACTCTGTGATTTCAAAACCCCTTATCTATGTCCGGGTAAAAATAAACATTCCTATTCGAGAAGCAAGCAAACGCCAAACGCCATTGTGAAGAGCAGTGGTTTCAAGACGCGACCACTGAGCCTCTAAAGCATTGTGGCACAATGCTCTATGCACAATGCTCTGGGGCAATGGTCGCACCCTGAAACCACAAAGCAAATGCCATACATATAGAGGGTTGTTTTTATATATGCAGTTTAATTATTGCTATTTTTTATTGTTTATATTAGAAATCATGATGTGCGATGAATAACTTTTGAAATTTAAAGTTGTTTATATTAATAAAAGGAAGTTATTTTGTCTCATCGAAAGCGAATTTTAAAAGGCATCCGACTTGAAGTACTAAGACCTAAAACATGTATGATTCTGAAGTCATTTTGTGTTATTTAGAGGTAAAAGATCAGTAATCAATTGATTTTCACTCAAAAATTTCGGAAGGAAGAGGAAGAAAAAATTTGAAAATTGGTGGTTTCAGGGCGCAACCACCGTGCATCAAAGGGTTAACAAACTCTACGATTTTAAAGTGACCAGTGGTAACATTGTACGGGGAAGGGATTGTCTCCAGCGTGCGAGACTGTGTATTGAAAATTCTAAAGATAGGCTCATTTTAAAATTATTTTGCGACATTGCTGTTGAACTGAATTTTATGGTTTAAATGCAAAGAACATGATATTTAATAAATAAAGTTAACACACAAAATGTTAAAAAAATGCCCCTTTGGACATAATTTAAAATCTGAAATGTTTCAAATTTTATATCATTTTAATGTATTCTATCATTTTAGAATCAATATCATAAATTATAACTGCTGTAATGTGTTCTTAGATACTGATTTTATTAGCGCTTTTGTAATGAATATTTTTAGAAATAAAAAAATTAATAGTAACTGTAAATCTACAATGCCTAAGAGTATCTAATTACTGAATTTAATTAATTTTACCAACCCTTAGATGTTATCATTACATGTTGAGTTATCGCGTTCCCTTAATCTTTATTGTGAAAGTAAGATACAATGCAAAAATATAGAAGATAATATAAAACGTTAATCCTTGCTGCTGATGAGACTTCTTTAGCTTGCTTGAACTTTATATTAAATACTGTATATTAACTGGGTTACAACTCTAGCAAATCTACACCAAGCTGCGACACTAATTGGGTCAGACAGACAAAGTGCAACTAGCTTTCACCACTTACTAACCATACCAATATCAGTGTGTTAAAAATGATGCTGATTATTATTTTACTTCTCAATTTAACCCACGCCACTAGACACAAAATCTGCATAAACGTCTGGACTGAGCAAGTACATGACAAAATGAGGCCTGTTAGTAAAGCTTAAATGAAAAGTTACTGATCTTCATTAAAATATGAGACTATTATAAGTGTAAAATATAACTGTTTCAAGAAATTTTATAATTTAATGCTAATTACTTGACTATTTTTCTGAAGTTATTTGATTAAATGTTAGATTATGTTTAATAATAATACATCTGACTTACAGATTTTATTAGAAAAGCATTATAATTGCTTTAGTAGATTGAATTTCTGTTTCCTTAATTAATATTATGATGGTTATGTTAGCATTGAGAATTTTATCTTTTTCCTTAAAAGCATTTAATTCTCATGTCAGAAATGTGTTTGAACCCTGTATTTTTATTTTCTATTTAATTAATTGTCCTAATTTATATACTTACAATAATGTTGCTCTCTTTTTTAAAAAACATTGTGTAGTTACTACATGATTTGCTTTCACATCTGTTAATTTAGATAGATTCTGAAACTGAATTTCAGTTCTCATGTGTAAGAAAAATAGCACAATTATTTAGAAACAAAGCAAGCAGATTTGCATTAAAAAGTAAATTAAATTATAAAATTCATTTGCATCGCAGTAAAAGCAGTATCTAGAAGTAGAACAATTTTGTTGTTATGTGTAGTAACATATTTTGTAGTTTTGAATTGATAAATATAAGAGAAGAGAAAATTTGCTTATTCTTCCGAGCCTCAAGGGCTGTTAGAAAATTTCTTAACTATATTGTTCATATGTAACAACAACATATTATATTGTTCATGTTAAATTTCAAAAACCATATGCACTCCTTCCACGTCGCAAAAGAATGTAATGCATCTGAAAAGGGCATTCGTAAAGTAATTTTTGGAAAAATATCACAAAAAGTAATAGATAATTCTCCCCCAGTTTCTTGCTATTTCTTGTTAATCAGAACTTAATCTCTTACCTTTAATTGTAGGTAAATGAATAAAAATTCTACCACACTATCAGTAATTTTTTTTGGGGGGTGAAAATTATTTAATTACTTTGCATTTGATTGCTGAATATGGAAAACATTTATTTTGAAATAAGTTACCCTGTTTCATCTACGAAGTCAACTGTCCTTGCACAATCATAGTGCACTTCACTATGATTAGGTACTGGAGTATTTTCTTAAAATTGTATTTTTATTCCAAAATAGGTCGTTTATAATGGTAGTGAGGTTTGTTTTTTAATTAATAAATTTTGTGATAAAAATATTTCCTAATTGTAATCTCTCTGTCTTATTTATTTTTATTCTAGGTTTCTTCGACATGACTTATCTAATTCTTGCCAAAAATTATTATTATCATGGGTCCATGCGTATAGTTGCTTCATCTATACAGCCCAACTATGTCAGAGTATCTGAGGAATAGAAAATAAGAAGGTAAGAATATTAAACTATGCAATATTTTAGAACAGGAGGTAGATCAGCCCTAAAACTTCGTGAATGTTCTGCTGTGTAGAATAACTCAATAAAGGGAAGTGAAAGTAAATTAATTTGCAGTAACTATATGTGTACAGCTGCCAACCATTCTGATAAAACTCGCAGAAGCTTTATTTTTTTTTGTCAGAAGAATGTGGATCACAAAGAGTCGAAGGAAAAAGAAATTCAGGGAAGAAAATTTTTATCACAAATTTTTAAATTTTCATTAGATCATTTTGATCACGATGAACCATGCGAGGGCCATTCGCCCGAGGGAAAGGATGCCTTTGTGGAGGACTCTCTCAGGAAAGCTGGCTTGTATTCATGGGGAAAACCACAAAATCACTCATGTGACTGGTCATTCGTGTGGAAACAAACTTTGGTCGAACCCAGTGGGCCAGGTTCTTACAGAAAGCTATTTTTGGTGTTTTTTATTTGAGCACAACTGTTTTAATTAATTAGAAAGGATCATAGAGAATATTTTTTTCCTTTTAAATCTGTATAGTTTGTAACTGGGGTATACGTGGTTACATTAAAAAACGTGCCGACTGAGCCATAGATGAATTTGCAAATAAGTATTTAGTTACCAAATACCTTTCATCCTGTCCATTGTGCATAATATAAGTGCTGTCCACTGAATTAATGGAAATAGGTTGCATCTGAACTTCACTATTACCTATATACAGGGTGATTATAATTAAAGTTTAAGTTTCAAAACGCTATAAAAAAAGAACCACTGATGGAAATGATGTGAAATTTGAAAGGAATGTTATTGAAGAAGGCGGAAAGCGTATGGCAGAAGAAAAAATTTAGTTTCAAAAGTTAGCAACAGATAATGGCGCTGTAAGCGGGAGAATCACGACGACGAGAAACGAGAAATGATTCGTAAAACAACGGGTTAAGGTGGAAGTTACACATTAAAACGCATTGACAAATTAGAATTGTTGAATAATTTTATTTGCATGACTGTACATATCACATCGAAAGGGACAAACCGGGTTCAAGAGTTTTGCGGCGACATACCGCATAAGAACCATTCATCAAAGCAGTTCGGAACTGTCGCGAGACTGGCGCAAAACATGTTCAATATGGTGTCCACCGTTGTGTGCAACAACTTGAAAGCGACAAACAGCATGTTCCACAACAGATCGCAGTGTCTCCGGGGTGATGTTCAGAATGTGTTGCGAAATGCGTGCCTTTAATTCCGCTAAATTTGCAGTTGGAGCACGGAACACAACATCCTTCAGATATCCCCTCAGCCAGAAATCACACAGAGTAAGATCAGGCGATCGGGACGGCCAGGCTGTAGGGAAATGACGGCTGATAATTCGAGCATATCCGAAATGGCCCCTCAGCAGCTGCTTCACGGGATGTGCAATGTGCGGAGGAGCGCCATTTTGCGTAAAAATGATTTCATCCACACGTCTACGCTGTTGCAGAGCTGGAATCACGTAGTTGCGCAAAATCGACGCATACCTCTGACCAGTGACGGTTGCGATAACAGGACCGGAAGCACCCGTCTGCTCTCGAAAAAATATGGCTGTAGGATGAATGATGCCGTAAAGCCGCACCACACCGTGACCTTTTCAGGATGAAGTGGTACGGGGTGGGCGTTGCCAGTGGATTTTCTGTTGCCCATATTCGACAATTCTGGGTATTCACGTATCCCTGTCAGATGGAAATGGGCTTCATCTGTCCACAAAATTTTCCACGGCCATTCATTATCCACTTCCATGCGAGCCAGGAATTCTAACGCAAACGTCTCCCTAGCTGTCAAGGTCAGACGGAAGCAACTCCTGCACATGGCCAATTTTGTACGGATAGCATTGCAGGATGTTTCGTACAATTTTCAGCACCGTGCTCGTAGGCCTGTCCAATGTTCGGGCAATTCCTCGTGCACTGCACGGTTGCACACCACCGGCCGACCCCTCCTGTAATGCTGTGGCCACTTCTTCAACTACCGTCGAATGCACTCGTTTTCTCCCTCTACCTCCCTCTACCAGATTGCACATCAAACGAACCTGTCGTTTTGCCGAATTTTTGCATCATTTTTTCTTTAGATTCCTACGACACTCATTGGACCAACGCCTTCTTTTATACCCTTCAGTGTCCTGAATTTTTGCAGAGCTACTCTTGCACAATCATCATTCTTGTAATACAGCTTTACCAGCAGAGCGCGGTCCTGCAGTGAAAACACCCATGGCGAACGTCTGAGACGCGAAATGAGGAACAGCCTGGTACCTGGCGGCTTTATAACACTGAAATTTAACTAACATTTTAATTTACGTCTTCTTCTGCTTGCAGCTGCCATCTGTTGCTAACTTTTGAAACTAAATTTTTTCTTCTGCCATACGCTTTCCCGCCTTCTTCAATAACGTTCCTTTCAAATTTGACGTCATTTTCATGAGTGGTTCTTTTTTTATAGCGTTTTGAAACTTAAACTTTAATTATAATCACCCTGTATATTAAGGAAAAAAAGTTGATGTAAAAGAACCCTAATATAAAAGCATAGAGAAAGTTTTTGCATTAATAAATGTGCTTATTTCTATTTTAATTTTTCATTCATCAAGTAAATTACTGACTAGAAATATCTTAATTATTTTATCTCTCAATAACATAGAACAAGAGTCCCAAACCCCATGCCCACGGGAACTCTTGCCACTCATCGATTTTATCTGTGCCCATTTCCACGTGACCATGACAAAAAAAAAAGACAAAAAAAAATTACTTGTTTTCAATAAAATACTATGTAATTTTTTAGAAATGCTAATTAATTAGATAAACAGTAGCATATTTGTCTATACTTAATATAGGTTTATAATTTTAAATGAGTTTACTGACATTGTCTTTTTTACATTAGAATTATATTTCTTGTGATGACAATCATGCATCTTTAATTTTGCCAATAACACTGACGCTTATTTTACTTGTTATTTATTCTGTTTACTGTTTCATTTTGTTCTTTCTTCATGTTGCTTAAATTCTTATGACTAGCCTTTGGTAAACAAATTATGTAGCCTAATAAAAAAATGGTATAATTTGAAATAAATTACATAATGAGGTAAGTTGCTAAAATTTTTATGTGTACACATGTATGTACATGTGTTTTGAATTATAATGTAAAGGTTGTATCATCTTGAGTATCACAACAATTGTGAAACTGCAACACTAAGAAAAGAATTCAAATAGAGCCAAAATAGAGTATTTCAGGTATATATGTGATTTTGTAAAAAATTTTAACTATCAATATTTTTTAATATTACTGTGTTTTTCTTTGTATATGAAACGGAAATATGATGAAACTCAAGTAAGACTTTGCTTGACAATAAATGCCGTCAATCTCCAAACATTCTCGAAACTGTCCCTCCCAAGAATTTTCTTTCTTTACCATTTTTTGGTCAATAGATGCCGCCACTGGCTTTGTTTTCTGCCATTTAAAATGTTCTAAAATTTCTCTCTGATGTTTTCACTTAAACTCACCTTTTCTCCAGCTGTTGAAGATGAGGGTTTTACTGACGTTGAAAACTCCTCAGGTTATGCAGATTCTTATTTATTATTTTTTACACATGTAGCTGTTTTTCTTTTCTTTCTTTTTTTTGGGGGGGGGGAGCAGGGTCATGTAAGTTTCATTTTTCGTTTCTTTATTATAACAGACTTTCAGATCAATCCTTTTATATGAAATCTGAGCCAAGTAAACTACTGATAATAGCAAATGCTATTCACAACAACATGTCCATTCAGTGAAGTTTAATTGATAATTTTGGTAAAATAAAAGCTAGTACTATACAGGTATGCTTTGAGTATATTTACATAGTAGCATTTCTTAGAATTTATAGTTTGTCATATGCATTTTTTAATTTTACTGTTCAGTTAAAATCAATTTTGTTGACACGATCATGCCTCAGAAACTGATAGACAGTAAAACGCCGTTGCCAACTGCATGAAATATAACTGCCTTAATATACTCCACATACTTTTGCAGCTAGTGGATTCTTTAAATGTTGCCAATTGAAAAATCTTGAGATATTTGATTAAATTTGAAGATTAATCTGTTATTGATTGAAAATATGAGCTATTTAAAAGCAGTGTGTTGCCAAAAAAAAACTTAAACATACTTAGCTAAAAGGACTAATGAAAAAAATAGTTAAATTATGCATTCAACTGGTGTTAAGATGTTCTTGTCTTATAGGAAAGAATGCCAGCTATCATTTGTAATTATACCATAAATAATGTTAATACATGTGTCCATGAATTATTTTTTATTCAAGGTATTTTAATTCATAATATATCTAACTACTACAAAAGAACTGCTTTTTAAATTTCTAAAAAATATTTATTAAAATTCTTTTTTGAGGTGCTTCTGCAGTGTGAGTTTGGAAATTTTATTGTGTATCATTTATATGATCATTTCATTTAACTTTAACGTATTTAATTTTATTTTAGAGTGATATTTGCAGTTCTTGTGAAATGAAAATCACCTTCATCGGGGGAAAATAGTTTTCTGAAATAAGAAATGCAAAATGTTCTGGTTGTAAGAGAGAATGAAGATAATACTCCATGTTCCCAGTTTTCTGTCATAATGTATATCTGTTTGTGTATAAAGAAATAGGTACACAATTTATAAATCATAATACACGAATTAAATTGAATGTATTTTATGCTTTTACTATAAATTGAATTCCAACTCATAAAGTGTACATATTGTTGCGTGCGTACGGGTTCGTTATGAAATGAATGCACAAGTCCGATGAAAAATGAACAAAAATTTATTATTATCACAACAAAAATGCTTAAATTTTCTCAAATTATCATGCAGTATTACAATATCTCACAGTAGTTATCTTTTAACTACTCAAATATCCAATAGAACGTAATTCAAAACAGCTAAAGAACGCTAATCCGCGAATTCGCTACAATCAACAAGAGCAGTTTTCTAAACAACAACAAACTAAGCAAGCAACAACTACGAAACTGAGATGTTTTCCTCCTTTTATAAGATTTTAAAAATCACGCGCTAAGAATTTTCCAGTACTTTCTCGAAATCAAAAAGAGATATTTATTTATTTAACGCACGCGCTCTTTATTTTTAATTTTTCCGGCTTAGCTTTCTTTTAATATTCGTCACGCGCTGCACTGCGCGAGAAATAAAACCATTTAATTTATAATTGAACTAACATTAGCTTTTTAAATAGCAAATTCGTAACAATATATATGAGTACATATTTCCAGGATGAAGCTGGACTGTTACAAACTGCGTTTTCCAGGAAATTTGGCGATTCTTTTAATCTTCTTGAATATAATAAACAAACTGCTATAATATCAAGGGAGCTGGAAAAAAATGAAAGTTTCATTAGGTCATGATTAGGTTATTTAAGACAAAATTTCTACATATAATTTGTTTTTAACTACATACATTTCTATAACAAAAGTTCACCCGTTTCAGCTCTTTACAGTTAGTGAAGTTGATAAAATGATGAGAAAGAAATTCAGTTTATTAATTCAGGATTTATGGAGAAAATGTCTGATACCAGTCATATGAAAGAAGCAGATTGGAGTACAAGATAAAAACAATTGGAGATCGGATAATTTTATGATAAAATTACAATTAGTGCAATTTTTTTTATCATGTGTTTATGATTATCGTTGATTGCAAATTTGCTTTGAGGAAATACCATCAGACTTCTTTCGATCAGTGTGGCTTAAGCCACAATCAAAACTTAAAACTGTTTAAAAAATTATGTTATTGAGAATCTGCAAGTTTTGCGATTTTCCAAATTCTAGTTTGGAACCCAATTTGATGACAAATGAAATTCCTTTTGCTTCTGTTTACAAAAGTAATTTGAGATTTTTTTTTTTTTTTTTTTTTTTTTTTTTAAAAAAAAAAAAAAAAAAGCAGAATTACAGTCTTTGTGTTGCCCTATCTTTAAAAGTTTTACTGATTAAATTTTTACTTTATAACACTTTGCTTTTGATTTTCTTCCTGTTTTAAGTAGAAATATGACAGTTTTGCTGTGAAAATGCATGACTATACACAATCCATCAGATCTTTGCAGATGTTCCCTTAAAAAAGTAGTGAGAAATTTATTTTAAAACAGTTTTCAACATACTTATATATTTATCTTCATGCTGTGTTGCAGGTTTTCAGAAACCTTGTAAAATAACTTTTGTAAATATATATATATTATATTTAAACTGACTTGTTTAGTCTACGATTCCTTTGAGAAATCTTCAAATTGGATAAACAATAAAATAAATGATACTGAAAAATTCTAATGTACTGAGTAAAAAGATAACTTGATGTAACATCTTGCACTGTTGTTACATAGATATATTTTTAATAAAATATGAATACTTTGTTTATAATTTTTCATGGTGTAATTAATATATTATGTGTTTTAGAAAGTTCCTGGTTGAGCTTCATAAAAGACACCTTGCCTCGATCTTCAGGAATCATCAATAAGTGCAAACAATATGTCTTTACCTTTGATAAGTCTGAAAAGAGGAAAAGAGTCGAGAGGTGGAAGAAGAGGAAACTTTTGTTAAGTGGCCAGTAAATAGTGCAAACTCGTCATCTTTCAAGTTGAACCCAAAGAATACAAGGTAATAATTGAGATTCTAAATTTTTGCTATATGATGAAGAAAATTGCTTTTTTAAAAATATTAGTTAGTTATGCTTGCTACTAGTTATCACTATATAGTAAAGTTATTGATAAGTGGATGATTCTTCTTGTGTGTTTAAAATCATGAACATCTAGATATGACAAATAAAAGTTTCTGTTTGGAGAAATGGCGATAGTTTTATTTCTTTAACAGAAGGAGGGAAAATGTGTTTTTATAAATATGCAATTAACAATAAATCTTTTCCTGTTTATTATTTTCTAATTTGAGTTGGATTTATAAAATGGATACTATTCCGTTTTGAGGACCGTAAAAAAATTGCAGCAAAAATGTGTGTGCAAAAGTGCCAAATCTAGCAAATGTGCCCATTTAACAGCTCGCCAAATCTAGCATACGTGCTGATTTCAGATTGCATAAGTTTATATAGTTCTATATTTCTTAAGGTGCCATTGAAATGCTAGTTTAATTTTCAAATCCTTTTTTGATATCCTATGGATTTAACAATTTGGAAATTGCCCATGACTAAAAGTCTGCAACAGAATTTTGGGTAAAGTGAAGAATCACCCACTGCTGGACACGTTTTAAGAATTGCACATGCTCGGTATCCATGTACACATCGACCTATTTTCACTAAAAAAAAAAAAAAAATCCAGAACTGCAGAAAAATGGCACTGTGCCCACCCTTTAGTTTACCTATGTACACATCAACCTATTTTCACTTAAAAAGTAAAAGAAAATTGACAAAAATCCAATTGTTTTTGCCCTTGTAAAAAGCGGCAAACAAAAAAGTGGGCAATTCTGCACTTTACCGAGAATTTTTTCAAAGAAAAGGCATAATTCATCATAGAAAATTATGTTTGAACAACCAACGAGATAAAATTATGCTTTAGAAATAACTGGATAGCAAAATAGCGATACAAGCATCCATTCAGTTATACTTAGCAATTTTTATATAAATTATAATAATGATCTGAAATAGTTATTTACTCTTATGCTTCCATTCAGTCATGTTTAGCCTTTTTTATATAAATTATAATAATAAAAAAGTATTATATGAAATTAACCTTTCATCTAAATTAAAACATCAATCTTACATAGTTATTTACTATTATACTTCCTTTCTTGTGTTAGGGCTGCCGCAATTATTTTTGGCAGCACTGGCATTAACAATAGTTTGGCGATTTTTTACGGCCCTCAAAAGCGAATAGTACCATAAAATGATATATATGTACACAGTGTGAAAATAAAGCACTCAGTTTTATTCTGTAAAGATTCCAGACATATTTGGCTTTTAAGTTTTGGTTAATTTTGATTTCTAAAAGAGCTATTTTTCTTCAAGTCCTGCAGGATGGAAGGATAGGTGATGCCCAAACTGGGTTTTCCCATACACTTCCCTGAAACAGTGATATAGCCCTCTTGTTTATCAAAACATTCAATGATTTACCATTAAGATTTATAAGTTTTGACATGTTCAGAGGTAAACATTTCGTAATTATGTCATAAATATAAGTATAAATGTATATATTTTCTTATTCTACAATATTTCAGAGTTTTAACTATGTGAAACAATGCATTTTTTAAGAGCATTTCAATCTAAACTGAATTAAATACTATACTTTTCCAGTACTGAGAATACTTTTTAATTTGAATGAAATGTTTCCATAAGTTTTTGCATATTACATTAGAAAAGAATTTTAAGGTAATTCGATTTTATCTCGTCAACAAGTGCAAAAATTAAAATTAAAGTTTACTTTATTGTTGATTTAAAATCATGCATTATTTCTTTTATATTTACAGAGCCTCCTTCTGAAATAATTTTTCAAATATCAGATGATTTTCTTTTTAATGTAACCCAGCTTCTGAGGCATCTTTAAAACCAAAAATCATAGTCATGCTGTAATTAATGGTCTGTTTGTTTCATTTCAAATTAGAGCACCTTTTATTTAAATAGTTAAATGTGTTAAATATTGATGCCAGTTTCTGATTTCCATGTACCTTCTATGAGGATTTTGGGAAAGTATTAAAAAAAGGTGTTATTAATATTATTTAAAACTTGTAACTGAATTATTAAAACATCTAAGGAAATAATTATTTTAATACTTATCAATTTTTTTTTATCTTTGAATTCAACAATACACATTCTAAATATTCCACTGTAGGTATGTGTTTCATAGACCGTGCTTTATATGACACCTTTTAAGAGATTGCTTATTAGTATTAACAATTCTTGCTTAAATAGTTTTATAAATATATTTTTCAACAAAATTTTAATTTGTTTATAATTAAATGCTACGGACATTATGTATCTAGATAATATTTGTAATCATTATAAATGTAGATGCATTTAATAACTATATTTTTTCACAGTAACATTCACAGAGTTTATCAATGAATAAATCCTTGATTTCCAAATATGTTTTAAAATAATTTTATAAATATTTATGTTTACATGTTGTACCCTATTTATAAAATTTAACTTGACCTATTTGGAACATAAAATAAAAGTAGAAAATACATTATCAAGGACATCAAAAGAAATGTAAAAATTTCAATGCTTTTACCAGTTAGTTATAAGGAAATTGAGCCTTAAAGTGTTTTCTTTTTTTCTGATATTTGCATATTTTTAAGGTATTTTATGCTATTTATCATTCTTTATCCATAACAGAAACATTTTGCAAAAATCTATATTTTTATAATCCAGTAGCTTGGACTTTTATAAAACATTAATAATCAAAGTTGTTGCAAGCTATCAAAAGGTTGCCAAGATGTGATTTGTGTAGAAATGCCACTAAAATATACAAACTGCTATTACCCATACAGCAATGATATTTCTTTGCACAGAAGTGTTCCTGCTTTTCAACTTGTGTGAAATTGTACTGTGCAGAAGTACCATTAAGCCACTGTCAAGGTACTGTGCTCCGGATGTAAGCAAAAGTACCACACCCCCTTAGACTATCAAAACTTTGCAGCACTGCATCAATCCTGGTGCAAGGAAGGTGTCTCTTATTCCTTCCTCTGCAGCTCAAATAGATAAAGGTACGGAAGTCTAACAATTTTGCTTCACATTAGTTTTGCTGTGTTTATTCGTTGGAAGGGCTGGTTGCTTGAAGTTTCTTTTCCCTTTAATCACATTCACATTTTCCCTTGGTTTTCCACGGCCGAAAAAAATCAGCCTGAATTAGGAAACTGCTTTTTGAGCTTCAGAATTTTTTTATATCATCATAATCCATGTTTTGTTCACTATTATTCTTGTACTAGCTTGAAATAACTTTTCCTTTTCTTTTTTTAAATATTGCTTAGCTGCTGCAAGATTTGCTTTCACATCTGTAAATTTAGATAGGTTCTGAAACCGACTTTCTGCTCACATGAACTAGAAAAATAATTCTTATTTAGAAATAATACAAGAAAATTTGATTTTTAAAGTAGGAATTAAAATATAAAGTTTATTAACACCACAGTGAAAACGGTGTATAAGACAGAACAGTGTTGCTATTGCATGCTGTAATTTATTTTGTAATTTTGAGAGGATAAATTTACTCTAATTCTACTGAACTTTTAATCTTTGGTATGTTACTTACTTAATCAGAAATGAAACATAGAGATTTAACGTATTGCAAATGGTATCAGGATAAAATAAGATTTTGGAATGATGTGTTCCCAACATGCTTGGCAAATTCTTCTATACCAGGGAAAAACGGCCTGAAGAATTCGCTTATGACATTATTAGATACTAATATTTTCATTCTGTATTTAATTCAGATGTTTCTCAACTTTATTACATTATTCATGTTACATTTCTCAAACTGTATGCACTCGTTTCCACCTTACAACAGAATGTAATGCATAATGCATAGAATGTAATGAAGTGCGATTTTTGGAAATGTTGAACTCTTTATTTGAAAAGTATCATAAAAAGTGCTGTATCATTATCCACCCCTCCCAAGTTACTTGCTGCTTCTTGTTAGTCAGAACTTAACCTCTTTGCTTTAATCATCTGTAATGACTAGGAATTTTACCACTTCCACTACATTTTCTGGAAAAAAAATATTTAATTAATTTGCATTTGAGTGCAAAAATAACAAAATATTTACTTTCAAATAAGTTAATCTGTTAATTTCTTCCATTTAATTTGACTGTAGTGGAAGAAACATATCTGTTCCAAAAGAAAACCAACCTTGTTACAAACTCATCCGCAGAGTCCACTGTTCGTGTACATGTAATTATAGTGCACTTTGCTGTGATTAGATATTTGAGTCTTAATTTATTTTCTTAAAAAGTGTATTTTTGCTGCAAAATTTGTCATTAAAGGGTACTCAGGTTAGTTATTTAATTAAAATGTAATTTAATTATTTGTAATCAATCCTCAGAAGTTATCTCTATGTATGATGTGAGTTATTACTTTTGCTTAAGCCTTATTTTGGATGCAAGATACAACACAAAACTAACATAAACTTTATTCCTTAGATCTAACGAGACTTCGAATAATACAAACAACTTATCTCTGTTGCTTCGGCAGCTTGTCGGAACTTTATATTAAATATTGTGTAATAACTGGGTTACTACTCCAGCAAATCTACAACACTTACCAATCACGTGAACGTCAGTCATTTACGAATCGTGCTGATTATTATTTTACTTCTCAATCTAACCCATGCCACTATACATAAAATCTGCATAAACTTCTGGACTGTGCAAGTATATGACGAAATGAGGCCCGTTAGTAAAGCTTAAATGTAAAATCACTAATTTTCTTTAAAATATGTTTGACTATTATAAATGTAAAATATAAATCTTTCAAGAAATTTTATAATCTAATGGCAATTACTTGAAACATTTTATGAAGATGTATTTATTCTTGAATTTTTTTGTATAAATAAGTTAAATGTTAGATTATGGTTTAATAATAATATACCTGGCTTATAGGTTTTATACCTAGAGTGGTATTGCAAGTGAAGCTCTGGTGTAGATAATTGCTTTAGTTTATTCAATATCTTTTTGCTAATAGGGCCTTAAATTTTTTTGTTAAAAGATTAAATTCTCATGTGTGGAAATGTGTACGCATCCTGTATTTTCATTTTCTATTTAATTAATTATCCTTATTTATATACTTGCAATTATGTTTCTTTTTTTTTTAATATTGCACAGTTTCTACGAGATTTGCTTTCACATCTGTGAATTTAGATAGATTCTGAAGCTGAATTTAAGCTTATACAGAAAAATAACATTATTCTTTAGAAACAATACAAGCATAATGAAAAGGAAATTAAAGTATACAATTCATTTACATCACAGTAAAAGCAGTGTTGTCATCTTGCTGTGTACTTAAAACCCGCTTGGGCTATGCCGGTGGTTGCTTAGCTACTGGTAGTGTCTTCTAAACTGGACAGACCAGTGACAAAGTACCAGATGAAGAGCAACACCCTGGTCTTCCAGTTTGGCAGTTGGATGTGGTGCTAACAACTCCACCCTATATAAAAAAAAAACTGTTACGAAATCTCAAGTAATGAAATCTTCCAGACCGAACTTTAGGAGACGACCTGGTAAATTCTTGAAGGATATGACAATTAGAACTTGGAACACTTCGTCACTTTAAGAGTGATTAAGTGGAAGACCATTGCCAAGGAAAGAGAGGTCTGGAAGAAAATTCTTGAGAAGGCCAGTTCCCACCCTGGGCTGTCATGTCACTGAGGAAGGAAGGAAAAACAGTGTTCAGAAATTCTGCTGTTCCATGTATACTTATTTTGTAATTTTTAATGGAAAAGTTGCTGTAATTCTGCTGAGTCTGAAGAACAGCTCAGAAGTTTCTTAACTGTATTATGCTGTTTATGTTCAATTTCAAAAACGGTACACCTTATAACAGAATGTAATGCACCAGTAAAGTAAGGTTTTGGGAAATGGTGCACTTTCTATTTAAAAAAAGAACACAAAAAGTAATAGATTGATTCCCCCCTTCTCCTGGAGTCACTTTCTATTTCTTGTTACCCAGAACATAATCTCTTCCCATTAATCATAAGTAAATGGATAAGAATGCTATCACACCTTTTGCTGATAACCTTTCATCACAATTCTTTTGAGAAATTTCTTTAATTACTTTGCATTTGATTGCTGTATCTGGAAAACATTACAGTCAAAAGTCATTAATTCGGACACCCATAATCCGGTCCTCAAAGCTACAAACTTTCTGCGCATGCGTCGCGTTGACACATGCGCATAAGACCTTTACGGCTGCGAATACTACGGCTTATGGCTGTGCGCGTGCGCAAAATACGTTTACGAATGCGCATTTAATGTATAACGGACGGTATAAGCTAAGCTAAAATTATGTAATTCAGTTAATGTTGCAGATTGCATTGTTCCTTAATCTTCGAATTGGATTCGGCTTATTATTTTTTGCAGACTGTTAGAGCAATTTTATAAAAGTAAGCTTGAACTTTTGATTATGTCAAGTAGAATTTCTGATATATATTTACTAATATGTAAAGGATCTACAAAGCGAAAGTATGTTTCGAATTCCATTAAACAAACAGTGAAATTGCTGCAAAAAATGGATAAAGGCATATCCTTTGTTTATCTAAACTTTAACGTTTGTTTATCTAAACTTTGTTTATCATTAATGCCGTGGCGCGCAATGAATTGGAAGTTGATCTGTCATCACTATCCTTATCTTCAGGGCAGATGTTATTTTATTTGGCTAATAATTCCTTACTAAATGTAGTATTTCATCTCGATGTACTCCGTCTTTGATATGATTTATTAAATCAAATTCCTCGTCATTATGATTCGCTTCCGATAGCGAAGAAAGTGACAGAGGTTATTGTAAACGAAAAAATTTCGATTGACAAATTAGTCGGTATTCTCGAAACAGCAATTATAGGACTTGAACAGCAGAACTTTGTAACTGAACAAGAAATTATGTCTGTTTATAGAATTAAAGAGAAAGTATTAGCACAAAAAACGAAGCAACTTAAACAACTTACATTGATAGAAATGTTTATTAAAGTAAAAAAATAAATATTAAGTTTTTTTTTTTTTTTTTTTTTTGTAAATTTTGATACCCTTTAGATCATAATTGTTCTTTATTTCATAAATTACGGTTTCATATTTTTAATTTTATAATTTGTGCATGCCATCTTACCAGATTTAAACTGATGATCTATAATCCGGAATTGCCGAAGTCCCGACGAGTCCGTATTAACGACTTTTGACTGTATTTTCTAATAAGCTATTAGTAGATTTATCCTGTGTACCATCTCAACGGATGGATCACTGTTAATCTCTTCCAGTTTTTTCCATTAACTTTCGGTTCTTTCCAGTTTATTCCGAAGAAAACCAACCTTATTAGAAACTTATCCACAAAGTCAAATGCCTTTGCACTAATAGTAATAGTGCACTTTGCTGTGAATAGATACTTGAGTCTAATCTTCCGTTTTAAAAACTATTCTCTACCCCAAAATATGTCATTTAATAGCACTAAGGTTTGTTCTTTAATTAATAAATTTCATGATAGAAATATCTCCTAACTGTGATTTTCCTGTCTCATTTCTTTTCATTGGTTTGATTTTTTCTTTCTAGCCTTCTTCCACGTGACTTATTTAACTCTTCTCAAAGATTATTATCATCGCAGATTTATGCTTGTAGTTGCTTCATCTGAGTGTCCCAACTATGTAGATGTATGTGGCTTTGCAGTATAAGAAACAAATTTTTCAGGTTAATTACAGAGGAAAAGAAAATAAGAAGGTTGAGCTAGCTATGCTATATTTTAGATCAAGAGGTAAAATAAGGCCAAAAACTTTATGAGTAGTCTGCTGAATACAATAACTCGATAAAGGAAAATAAATAAAGTCACAGTAACTAAACTTGTACTGCTACCAACTGTTCCGGTAAAACTGGCAGATTCTCGATTGCTTTTGTCAGAAGATATGGTTCACTAAGAGTCAAAAGAAAAATAAATGTAAGGAAGAAAATTTTTATCACAGGTTCTTAAAAGATCAATGGTGTATTTAGATTACGATGAAACACGAGCAGGCTATTTGCATAAGGGAAAAGATGCTTTAATTTAGACTCTCTAAGAGAAAATGGCTTCTGTCCATGTTACACATGCAAAAAACCATGAAAATACCCATGCAACTGACCCAGGTTGAATTGCCAGTGTTCGGCAACTTTATCGGTCAGCCAGATTCTGAAAGGAAGCTATTTTCAATGTTTGATTGTAATTTGACCATAACCATTTCAAACCATTATACAAGATCATAGAGAATTTTTTGAAGAGATAACATTTAATAATTAAATATTTTAAAAATTTTTAGTCTATGATATATGACAGGAGTCATACACACAATTACATTAAAATACATGCCTCCTAATCCATAGATAAAGATAATAATAGGGTCCTTATAGTCTGAGACAAAATTTGCAAATAAGTATTTAGTTACAGGTACTTTTCATCCTTCCTATTAGGCATAATATAAATGCTACCTACTTAACGGAAATAGGTTACATTTCAACTTCACTGTTACCTATATACATTATATAAAAAAAGACTTGGTATTAAAGAACCCTAATATAAAAGCAGACACAGTTTTTGCATTAATTAAATGTGCTTATTTTTGTATTTGTGTGTTTTTCATTCATCTGGTAAATTATCGATTAGAAACATCTGCATTAAAATATCTATTTCATAAACAGGGGTCTCCAACTCTACATAAATAGTAATTAGAAATACAAGCATATTTGTTTACAATTATATGTTTATCACTTTAAATGCTATATCACTTTAAATGCTATATCTTTTAATGTGCGAATTATGTTTCTCGTGAAGACAATCATGAATCTTAAATTTTGACAATAATACTGCCAATTTTATTTGTTACTTATTCTGCTTGTTTCATTTTATTTATCCAGATATGTTAGAATTCTTATAACTAGCCTTTGGTAAACAAATTAAATAAGAAATAGTATGATTTGAAATGAATTGCTTTATGAGGTAAATTGCTAAAATAATTTTACGCATACGCATGTATTTTGAATTATAGAATGAATGCTGTACCTACTACAACAATCGTGGAGCCACTATACTAAGAAAAGAATTCGAAGATGATGTTACCACATGCACCTTATGCCAGAGTATTCCAAGTATGTATTTTATTTTGTGAAATAATTTTAACTACAAATATTTTATAAAATTACTGTTTTTTCTCTGTATGTGAAAGGGAAATTCAGTGGAACTTAAGTAAGAAACATCAAAGTTTATGAATTTCTGTTTAATAAAAATCCCTCCTCATATTTCTTTATAGCTAAGATGATTCAGAAAACATTGGAGAATTATATTTCCTGGAAAAGCAAAAACATTTAACATTTACAAAAATCTTTTGTTTAATGATGCAATCCTGATCACTTTTTACTTTAAATTGTTCACGAATTTCTTAGTTAAGCACTTTTTGTTCAATAGATGGCGCCAATGGTTTTGTTTTCTGTCATTTAAAATGTTCTTAAATTTCTCTGAAGCATGTCTTCCTCCAGTTGCTGAAGTGGGAGGGGGGGATCCTATTAGACTTTGGAAACTATTCAGGTTATGGAGATTCTTATTGTTTATTATTTGTTACTTTCACATGTTCTTCAATGTGTTCTTTTTATTGCGTAAGTTTCATTTAAGATTTATTTTTTCACTTACTCATTTTTGTTCAGTTACAATATACTTTTCAGGTCAGATGTTTAATCCTTTTACATAAAATAATCTGAGCTAGGTAAATTACTGTTAACAGTAATATCACATAGCAACATGTGCATGTAATTTGGTACAATAAAACATCACTATTAATAAATAATAATTAAATGTGTTAAACTCTATAAACTGACAGATAGTGAAAGAATGTAGAAATTACCCTTGGCAATGAATACTACATGAAATATAACTGCCATAATTTATATTCCATGTAATCTGCAGCAAGTGGATTCTCAGAATGTTGCCATTTGGAAAACCTTCAGAGCTTTGATTAATTTTGAAACATTGATTAATTCGTTGAAAATCAGTATGTTGTTCCTGTGTAAGGAATAAAACTTTTTAATTTATCTTTCACACAGCCTTCCCACAAAGCTGATTCTCATGGTGTTGCTATTTGGCAAAGCATAAGATCTTCAATTTATTATTCAAATTCAATCATTGTGCTCCTAATTAAAAGTGACAGCACTTTTTAATAATTTAAATCATTCTATTTTTTTACTTCCTTGTACAAAGTAAAGGAAGTATTGTAATTGCAAAAAATTTTGAGTATCATATTTCGACGAAAATAGCCATTTTGACTACTCTTGAATCCATTAGAATTTTTTTGCATAATATCTGTATGTTTGGACAGAATAAAGGACTCATTTCTCCAAAACGGATAGTAAAATTTATTTAAAATGGATTCAGAAGAGATTTGTGACATATGTACGTATCTTGCATAACTCAAATACGAGTAGCTGTAGAATGTTGAAATTTTATATATGGGAATGTTATAATATGTAATTACACACTTCCCTTTCTTGTTGCAATTGGCCCTACCAAACATTTATATTCCCATCTTGTTATCTGGTTCGCTGAGCTTAATATTTTGATTCCTACGTATTGGTAAATTGTGCATTTTCAGTTTAAAAGTGTTGAATTATGTTGTTCTTATATTTTGGTTAAGGTTGTTATGCCTTCTGTTAATCTGCATGCAATAGTTGTAGCATTATTAACAATTTAAAAGCGGCGTGAAGCCGCCATTTGTTTATACAGTGGAACCTCGAGGTACAAACACCTCTATATACAAGAAATTTAAGATAAGAGGAAAAAATTTATCTCTAAATATGAGCATTGACTCAAGTAACAGGCAATGAGCCAGAGTGTTGGTTATGCATGGTGCCATTTCTCAGTCTTGCTCAACTTAGGAAATCCCCTCGTGAGATCACTCAGTATCGTTTCATCTACATGTTTGTGTGCCTTGTGAGTCAATTGTTTATTACATTTAACATGAAAATAATCATTTCACGATGCCTCCCAAGAAGATTGTTGCTTCAGATAGTGCTGCAAGGAAAAATAAAGAAATAATAGATAGATAAGTGTGGTGTAAGAGTGACGGAATTGGTGAAAACTTGCGGCCTTTTGACATTGACGATTTGAACTAGGAAGAAGCAGGAAGAAATTAAGAAACTTGATGTGGCCAAAGGAGTTATAGTTACTTCCATGCACTGTCCAAAACTCTTAGATGTTGAAGTTTGTTTCTAGATACGAGCTCAATGCTGGAATGAAATAAACTTTTATCTCGAGGTTCCA